TGACTTGCATTAGGTTCGAGTTCGTATTCAAACTTTTCGGCCGTTCAGGTGTTCGAATACGAACCGAACACGGGGGTGTTAGAAAAATAGAAAATAACTTTAAAAAAGCCAAATGTATAAAGTTCTGGTGATTGATAGATTTTATCTCTCTGTACAGGTTTATTGATGAGCCGGGATTTCAGTCAAGTTGGTCTTCATAAGCAGAATTGAGTCATATCGGAGACAAGACATATACGTGATCTAAGTGACTAGAAGGGTTTTCTACAGTTCACTGGAAGATTCACACAGGACACAAGACACATCACACAGGACACAAGACACATCACACAGGACACAAGACACATCACACAGGACACAAGACATATCACACAGGACACAAGACATATCACACAGGACACAGGTCATAAAGGTTTTGGATATTCCGCAGCATTGATCCAACATCAGAGGACAAGAGAAGTCATTTCAGTGTTCTAGAAGTTGCAGTGGCTTTACAGTGAAGTCAAACCCCTGAACACAAGAGAAGTAATTTCAGAGGCCAATTCTTGTTTGGTATCTGACAAAGGTTTTACAATGGAGGCAAAGCTCATCAGACATCAGAAGGTTCACAATGCAGAGAAGCCGTATCAGTGTCCTGAATGTGATAAAGCTTTTACATGTAAATCAAAACATATTTTACATGAGAGGATTCACACCGGAGAGAGGCCATATCAGTGTTCTGAATGTGGCAAAGCTTTTAAAAGAAAAGCACATCTTATTGCACACCAGAGGATTCACACTGGAGAGAAGCCATATGAATGTTCTGAATGTGGCAAAGCTTTTAGAGAGAAGACATATCTAATCGCACACCAGATGATCCACACTGGAGAGAAGCCATATCAGTGTTCTGAATGTGGCAAAGCTTTTAGAGAGAAGACAAAACTAATCACACACCAGAGGATTCACACTGGAGAGAAGCCATATGAATGTTCTGAATGTGGCAAAGCTTTTAAAAGAAAAGCACATGTTAATGGACACCAGAGGATTCACACTGGAGAGAGGCCATATGAATGTTCTGAATGTGGCAAAGCTTTTAGTGACAAGACAGTACTTATCAAACACCAGAGGATTCACACTGGAGAGAAGCCGTATCAGTGTTCTGAATGTGGCAAAGCTTTTAAAAGAAAAACACATGTTAATGGACACCAGAGGATTCACACTGGAGAGAGGCCATATGAATGTTCTGAATGTGGCAAAGCTTTTAGTGACAAGACAGTACTAATCAGACACCAGAGGATTCACACTGGAGAGAAACCGTATCAGTGTTCTGAATGTGACAAATGTTTTGTATGGAAAACACAATTTATGAGACACCAGAGGGATCACACTGGAGAGAAGTCATATTAGTGATCTGAATGTAACAAAGCTTTTAGATTGAAGTTACAACTAAGCAGACGGTTCCCACTGGAGAGAAGCCATTTCAATGTTCTGATTTTTGACAAAGCTTTTAATGTGAGCTCAAAGCTTATCAGACACCAGAGGATTCACAATTCAACTTCAATTTGAGAGTAGTGATGGGCCGAACACCCCGGAGGTCGGTTCGTATTTGAACATTCGAAAGGCCGATAATGTTGAATACAAACTCAAACTCAATGCAAGTCAATGGGGCTCGAACGTTCGGAAATGATTGTCTCCCTTAAAGAAGAACTATGGGGTCAGTGCTTTTCCCCATAGTTCTCCTAAGGGTAACAGGAGGACACAAACTAGTGTCCTCCCGTCACCCAAAGCTCAGTATATAGGGAGCTACAGCTCGCGGTATACTGAGACGCTGCAGCCAGGACGGATCCCGATATTACTGTTGAGATCCACCCAGCTGCGTGACTGACAGCTGGCTCTGCCTATCTAGAGCCAGCTGTACCCGCCCCCTCCCCGTCTGTTCCGCCAGTCAGCGCTGGAGGATCGGAAAGGGGAGGTGGGGATCCCTGCAGGGAGCCGTGAGTGACAGTCACAGCTCTCTGCAGGGACAGGATCGAGAAGTGAGCGAGCGGTATGTGTTCGCTCACTTCCCAATCTATTTGATCTATTGAGCCGACCTGTGATAGTTTTATAGTCACAGGTCAGCTAGAACTATGAGTATGAGTGAAAATCACTTGCCTCATAGTTCTCCTTTTAAGAGGGCTTATATGCAAGTTATTGGCCAGAAAAGGTGTATGGGGTTCCGGGTACTGCCCTGGGGGACATGTATGAGGGTTCGGGTGCTGCCCTGGTGGACATGTATTTTGATCAGGGTACTGCCCTGGGGGACATGTATGGAGTTCCGAGTACTGCCCTGGGGGACATGTATGGAGTTCCGAGTACTGCCCTGGGGGATCCTATCTAGAGCCAGCTGTACCCGCCCCCTCCCCGTCTGTTCCGCCAGTCAGCGCTGGAGGATCGGAAAGGGGAGGTGGGGATCCCTGCAGGGAGCCGTGAGTGACAGTCACAGCTCTCTGCAGGGACAGGATCGAGAAGTGAGCGAGCGGTATGTGTTCGCTCACTTCCCAATCTATTTGATCTATTGAGCCGACCTGTGATAGTTTTATAGTCACAGGTCAGCTAGAACTATGAGTATGAGTGAAAATCACTTGCCTCATAGTTCTCCTTTTAAGAGGGCTTATATGCAAGTTATTGGCCAGAAAAGGTGTATGGGGTTCCGGGTACTGCCCTGGGGGACATGTATGAGGGTTCGGGTGCTGCCCTGGTGGACATGTATTTTGATCAGGGTACTGCCCTGGGGGACATGTATGGAGTTCCGAGTACTGCCCTGGGGGACATGTATGGAGTTCCGAGTACTGCCCTGGGGGACCGAAATCAATGGAAAAAAACCAAAAAGTTTTTAAAGGAACAGTGATTTTTTACATGACTTAAAGGGTAAGAATAAAAATGAAAAATTCCTTCATATCTCATGCCTGGGGGGTCCCCATAACCTGCCTGTGAAGTGGTGGATCTGCGGACACAGAGGCTGCTTGCCCTCTTATTGCTGCATGGGAGCGTCTGCCTGTCCTTCTTTTTGTCCTTTCTGACATGATGTGTCAGAAAGAACAAGAGTTTCTCTTCATTGCCAAATCCTGAGCTAATAGATTTATAACTCTGCCTTAGTACCGGAGACTGGATAGTGGTCACTAAGGATGTGGCTTAGGTTCACTTTGACCTTCAGACCAAACCGAGCCCAGGCTGTTCACAGTCTGTGGAACAATTTGACCAGTTCACTCAGCCACTGACCCTCCATCTGTGTCCTAAAAACCAAAGATGTGGGCTTTGTGCAATGTCATTGGATGACTGATGGCTGAGACACACAGCGCCATTGGATGACTGATGGCTGAGACACACAGCGTCATTGGCTGACTGCTGGTTGAACTGTCAGAACATTTGCTCTGATAACAATCATAGTTACATAGTATTTGAGGTTGAATAAAGACACAAGTCCAACCTATTGCGTGTATGCATTCATGTTTGAGCAGGCTTGTGCGTGTATATGAGTCCATGTGTGATTTTTCTCTTAGCAGTACCTGTACCCCTGTATATTACCTGTACCCCCGTATATTACCTGTACCCCTGTATGTTACCTGTACCCCTGTATATTACCTGTACCCCTGTATGTTACCTGTACCCCTGTATGTTATGGTCTCCGAGGAACTCGTCCAGGAGTCTCTTGAATGATTCAACACTCTTAGCTGAAATCACTTCCTGCGGCAGCGAGTTCCAGACCCTAACCGCTCTGACTGTGAAGAACCCCCTTGCGCCCTGTATGTTGAAATTTTTTTCCCCACCAATTTTTGATTGTGCCCTCTGGTCTTTGTTTTACGGAGCTGACTGTAAACAGTTTGTTACTAAGGTTGCTGTCACCCTTGAATAGTTTATACAGGAAAATCATGTCCCCCCTTAATCTCCTCACCTCCAACGAGAACATATTTAATTTTAACAACCTTGTTTCATAGTTCAAGTCCTCGAACTCCTTAATGAGTTTGGTTGCCCTCCTCTGGACATTTTCCAGCTCAAGAACATCTTTACTGAGTATCGGTGACCAAAACTGGACCTCGTACTCCCGATGTGGCCGAACCAGTGATCTGTAAAGTGGCAAAATTATGGACTTGTCCCTGCAATACATTCCCTTCTTAATACAGGACAGGACTCTGCTTTGTTTACAGCAGTCTGGCACTGCGCGCTGTTATTCAATCTGCCGTCTATAATGACCCCCCAAATCCTTCTCCGTTTCCGACTTCCCTAGTGGCACACCCATAAGTGTATAGTCCATTTGCCTATTTTTAACTCCAAGGTGCATTACCGTACATTTATCGACATTGAACTTCATCTGCCATACAGTTGCCCACTCCCCGATTCTATCCAGGTCCTCCTGTAATGGTACAATGTTTCAATCAGTGTCTATTACCCTCCCAATTATATATCATCAGCAAACGCTGAGACACGGCTACTCACTCCCTCCCCGATATCATTAATAAATAGGTTAAAAAGCATGGGGCCCAGCACAGATCCCTGGGGCACGCCACTCATGACCTCAGCCCAGTCTGAGAAGGTGCCATTAACTGATACTCTTTGTGCACGTTCTTGTAGCCAGTTTTCTATCCACGTGCACACTAAGGCGTACGTTTAATAAACCGTGATAAAACTAGCTTCATCACGAGTTAACTTTACTCAGCAGATCACTTTGTTTTACTCGGCTGCACAGAGGCTGTTTAATAACCTGCGAAAAGAAAACTGATCACACGAAACAGCTGTGAAAGGCTGAGATAAGTCGTCACGGTGATCAGTAGAGAAAGCAATGCGGGGAATGTATTCTGAGCTGCACAATGACATCCTTTGTGATAATCTACAATCCTCCTGACAGGATCGTAGTTTACTCTGCCAAACCTCCCGATAACAATATTACAAAGCACCTCTATAGCAAAGTGCAACAGTTATTTCTCTGTTAAAATGATGAATTGCTAAAAAGCCGAATTTACATGTTCCGATTTGTTCCGCATGTACCAGTACAAAAGCATGAATCAAACTACCAGAGGCGGCCGCAATGCCAGGCAGTGATGGGGTTAAATATTCTAAAGGGGCACTCTGATGGAGCCAAGCAATGTAAGTGGGCACTCTGACACATGTTGGAAATTAGAATGTTTGGCGCCCCTGAAAAAAGCCTGCTGTCCCGAGATAGGTGCATCAGCACCGTGTGTGTGAAAACACACCATGTTTATGGTTGTGGTGTTTTGGAATGGCTAATAAATCATAGTTCATAAGCATTGTTTGGTGTGGTCATGTAATTGGCTCTCTTGTATAGATACCTGCACGCGGTGTGCGGACACCCGTGCACGGTATCATGACAGGGCCACTTGCCAACTTTCATATTTCACACACACACAGACATGCACACACAGAAATATGCACAACCCCCCCCACAACCAGAACTACAAACACTAATATACACACAAGAAGGCCCCATTCACACCTGTATGTTTAGGTGCGTTTAGAGCGAGCAGCAGTCACCCATTCAAGTTAATAATCAGGTGACAACCGCTGCATGTAAACGCCTGCTCACCGCATGTAATGGTATGTGATATGATTACATGTAGTTAGGGTGAACCTTGCTGTAAAGCTGGTTATGAGGTGATGAGTGCGTTTGCCATTCGTTTTGCTTGTCTGATTTGGTGCAGTGACACATTGGGGGGTCTCAGCTGACGTTGCGATGTGCGGGGTCCCTGGTGTGTCCGTGCGCCTTTAAGGAGGTTGGGCTGCTGCCTGGAGAACCTGCACCCAATTCATCTTTTGCTACATGTGCTCCAAGATGGCGGCTCTCATAGGTCAGAGTTAGGACCGCACTACACGGAGGGGCCTTGAGGAGGCGGTGCGGCTGTCACATGTCCTGCAGAAGACGTGCATCTAAGACCTTAGCGGTCAGACAGGTTATTTGCAGGCTGGCGGGTGAGTGTGCCGGGAAACTTGTTGCTGTTCTACATGATCTAAAGGGAAATAAATCCTCCTTATCCCGTCTCCACACTAAAGTCGGGTTACAATTTCGGAACGTTCCTCCGACTTTCTAATCATTGATGAGGTCAAATCCATCATGGATATCGCCCGCGGTGACGGGAACATGGGAAGGAACATGTTGGAAATGTTTTCTCAGATGAATTCCTATCAGTGATCGTGTTTCCGTTCGGAGAACTCTTGTGTGTATGAAGCAGATGATGGGGAGGGTAGTCCTCCTATGTGTTTATGAAGCAGATGATGGGGAAGGTAATCCTCCTATGTGTGTATGAAGCAGATGATGGGG